GCAAGGAATATGAATGCAGATTGCCAAGATAATATAACTTACTTACATACACCAGTAATATTAATTAACAATTAATAAACTGTACTCACAACAACAGCAAGTTTTCTCTATACAGTCAGGCTCAGTTAGAACCAGCAAGGAATCAGTTGGAAAAACAACCAAACAAAGTGTGATTGATTCAAAGTTTAAAAATGTGTTCCAAGACTATATTTGCCAGTTCACAATTTTTTTTAATGACAAAACGTAATTCGACAAACTTTAAATTTTAATATCATTTGCCTTCCATACGGAGCCAAGAAGAATGAACTTATGCTGACTACTTAACAATTGGATACAACTGTAATTAAGTATTCTAATGCATCGAAGTACGGCACGTACATAAACCTTGTTGGTCTCACTGAACTCAGTGAACTGAGAAAATATTAAGTGATTAATTCAATGATATTGATATCAATTTTCCAAAAGGATTGATTATATTGGATACAACTGTAATTAAGTATTCTAATGCATCGAAGTACGGCACGTACATAAACCTTGTTGGTCTCACTGAACTCAGTGTACTGAGAAAATATTGAGTGATTAATTCAATGATATTGATATCAATTTTCCAAAAGGATTGATTAACTCTTCACAACGTTCTTTTGTTTTGATGTCCAAATAATAGTGTTTGCCGTAATCGAAAGTGACTAATGTAATTTTACATTATTTTTGAAACACAAAAAGTTTACACTGAAGAAAAAAGCCCACATGGTCCATTAGGAAATATTCTTAATTATAATAAGAGTGCTTATACCAATAGAAATAATACCATAATGTTACAACATTTACTCCAAGAACAGATTACTGGTCATAGATTTTTTTATCTTCCACTTATGGGTCATCTTCTATCTAACCACTTGATATCATATAACCCCACAAGGCACAGCTTCCCTCATATTACTGGTTCAATCACGGGTAGCAAAAAATAAATAAATAAATAAATAAAAAGAAATGAATCACGCCTAGCTATTTTGCTTTTTGCTAAAACATTTGGGTTCGTAATTTGTTTCCACAGAAGATCACATAGTTTTCACCATGACCACAGTTGACGAATGAGAATAATTTCGTAACTAGCAGACCAAGAATCATTATACGATCTTGCACACTTGAAGCTAAAGAGAAAAGTGCCTTTCCAATGGCTTCAGTTAATGTTGTGCACGCTTTTTCTGAGGATGAGTGAGTCACCCGATAACTCTACATTTTTCAAGTATATTGTTGTGTCACTTTTTCTCTATGATTACTCTTCCGCAGCGTCACATCCGGTACAAAAGGAGTACAAATGTGACTGTGATCCAGCATGACTGCTTCAGTGTGATTCCTACAGCTGGGACTGAAAAAAAAAATTATCCAAAGTGAAAACTTGCTAAATTCAACTTGTCTTCAGTGTTAAGAATTATGTGTTATTTATGACTTAATATGAAGTGTGGTTTACATGAATTTTCTGAAAAACTTGGAAAATAGGAAACAAAAACTCAATAGAACTAAACATTCTGAAATTCAAGTTATATTCTTATGTTCTTTGAAATTAAAACAGCAAAAAACATTTGACTTCACAGTGGCAGAACATTTTATACTAGTAGCTAAGGCTGAAGGAATGGTCGGATATAATGAATGAAAATATGGGCAGACATTTTGAAAGTTCAATAAAGATGAAATATTTGTTGGTATATATATATGTGTGTGTTGATGCTCTAGATTTACATTATGCTTTAAAAAATTCTTCAAAGCTTTTGACTTGTTTCGGCTAGGGCCATGATTCACTTTTAAAGTCTGATTCTGTCAAAATACAGAGTGTTTGAAAATTATGTGGCGTATCAGAAACTTAGAATAGGAGAAGACAGTAACAAGTACGAACTTACTGTTAATGGTGAATGCAGGACACATGAAAGCCGTTTTTGCAACACACTATTTGCCATCAGTACAACTCTACACGTGTTGGCCGGCATATCAGGCGTCACAGGAGCTATTGAATCGGTGATCCGTTCACGTGGGGTACATAGGTCATTCACCTATGACTTATTGACGATATTCTTTACATAAGTACAGAAAAAAACGATTGGTTTGTTTTCAATTTCGCGCAAAGCTACATGAGGGCTATCTGCGCTAGCCGTCCCTAATTCAACAGTGAAAGAATAGAGGAAAGGCTAGTCATCACCACCCACCGCCAACTTTTGGGATACTCTTTTACCAACAAATAGTGGTATTGACCGTCACATTATAACGCCCCCACGGCTGAAAGGGCAAGCATGTTTGGTGAGACAGGGATTCGAAGTCGCAACTCACAGGTTGCGAGTCGAACAACTTAACCACCTGGCCATGCCGGACCCAGAAAAAACGTCAAAAGGAGTGATATCTGGCGACCGTGCCGGCCAAGGGATCAGTTCATCATGGCCCCTGTCTTGTATAACACGCTCTTTAGATCTTGAAACTGTTGTTACGACTATTTGATAGAATTCTTAATTGTTGGATCATTTCAGTACATTCTACCATATTGTACTTGCATTAAAATAGGTGATTTCATCTCTGTCAGCCACAAGACGCATAAAACCTTCCCTCAAATTCTCACTATATTTGTTAATGACGTATTTTAGAGACCGCACATGCTTTATACGTCATCAAACTTACTATGGCAAAGAAATGCATTCATGTGCCCTGTTGGGGTTAAAATTTATAATACGTCACATAATCTTCGTAAATCTTTTAGTGTTGAATAAATATGTCATGTGAAAGTTGGGCAAGTGTAATTTATAACGTACTTTATAACTTTTGAAATTTGATTTACGAGATTTGTTCAAACAACACTACAGAACATGAAGACAGATGTTTCAGATCTAATGTTTCGCCCCTAGCAATGGAAATATAACACTACAGACACCATTAATATTTCAAAAACAACTACGGTCACCTTATATCACATGAGTAGTAGTGAGTCTTAAAGTGGCATCAGGACTATATAAATATCATTAATTATTAACTGATATCTAAATATATATCCAAATATATCATTCTATGATCTTATTGTGAATTATGGAGTAGATTAATATTGGATAAGCTGAAATATGGAGTAGATTAATATTTGATAAGCTGAAATATGGAATAGATAAATATTGGATAAGTTGAATTATGAAGTAGATTAACATTGGATAAGTTGAATTATGAAGTAGATTAACATTGGATAAGTTGAATTATGGAGTAGATTAATATTGGATAAGCTGAAATATGGAGTAGATTAATATTGGATAAGCTGAAATATGGAGTAGATTAATATTG